CAACAATGAATTGCCGGGATTTGAACTCCTGGAGTTTACCCCCAATAAAACCCATGGAAACACCTTTTAATTACACTTATGGTTCAACATAAAGGCAGCTGGATTTCCAGATACAGATTGGTCAGTTGGGGCTATTTCCAAGTTTATAAAAAAAATGACTGGCTTGCATCCAGATCCCTTAAGTCTTTCATTCTGAAGGGTGTAACCAGTGGTACTTTGTACCTGGTTGCTCATATGGACTTTCTTCTCCTACGTATCATCAGTGTATGAAGTCCTCTAGTATGAAGTGCTTCTGGGAGGTTGGCAGAAATTAGCTACAGTTTTGCAATGGAAAAACTCAAAATAAGCTTAAATCATAGTAAAATTAATGGGAATCACATTAAAAAATTCAGAAACTCCTGCTAGCATGCCAGCACACTGTCCCTCCTCTGCTTACCACAGAGATGAACCTTTACTTACACAACTAAAACACAGGAGATAGAAATTATTTTTGCTTTCACAAGTTAAACATAATTTTGTTCTGCACACTCCCTGGTCTGATGCAACTTTACTACAGAGCATTTAACCTCATTTTAGGCTTAACAGGGGTGGTCTAAGGGAGTCGCAGAAGTTACATGGGGGGTTTCCTAAGTGTGTCTACTCCCACACCTTGGCTGCTTCTCAAGAAAGGAAGACATGAGACACACAGTAACACTTGTTTTAGTCATAGAGGAAACTGAACATAATACTGCTAACAAAAACCCAGCAGTCGTGATTTCTCACTTAAAAAGCACAAGTATTTTATTCATCTGGTATTTCCAAAGGTTTCCTAAAAATTGTTGTCTGCCACTATGCAATGCAAACATACTATATGCCGTAAGCTCTATGTAGATGCACCCTTTAAATGTTCCCCATTATTTAGGCAGCAAACATCATCAGATGCTCAGTTGGATAATCTGTATAAAACATTAAAAAATACACAACATATACAAGATACACACATTCCCTATGCTATCGATCTTCCTGAGAAAGAGGATTACAAAATCAGCACAAAATTTCCCCCTCTCCGCCTGTTGTGCAGATACAATCCATTTATTGGGCCGTGTTGTCAACTAGATCATGGCACAATCACACACCAGGGCAGGAGCCTCTGGATCAGAGGAGCTGGAAATAAAAAGAGGTGGAGAGGCAGAGCATTCTCTGGCAGTAGGTCAGAGAATGCTTACTCCACAGGATCATGCCGATGTTGAATTCCTCATATCATATAAAAAGCCCAAGCTTTGCAAATATGAAATAAAGGAACTGAAAATGCTGTAACTGGGAGCATTTTAAAAATCAGCAAGTTATACCTTAAAGAACCACTCTTCAGTTGAGAATAATATTAACAGTTTTCCATCAGAAGGGAACTTTTCTATACAATTTCCTGGAAATTGTTTTGCAGTGACCCACATTCATAATTCTTCAGAATTTAATGGAGATCAAACACTGGGAGAAGCTGGGAGAGCAGGGAATACTATTCACACTGCAAGATTAATCCTCATTCTTCAAATTTCACAACAGCCTTATGAAGTAAATGCATCATTACATCTCCGTTTTACACAAGTGCATAATGGAGCACAAGGAAGACAGATTAATTACTCTACCTCATACAAGGAACTATGACCAGAACACAATACAAACTTCCTAGGTCTTCACTGCCCATCACCTGTTTGGATCACTAGATCATGCTGTGCCAACATGTCTCAGTTTTAAAGGTTAGTTAGTATGTTGTAGGACAGCTTTCTCCTTGAACACTACTAGTGGTTTCCCACTTGTTAGATGGGAAACCCCTAAACACTGCTGCTGGGAGACACACCATTCAGTGATTCAGCAAAAAGTGGCTCACCTGTATACAGGTATAGCATGGTGAAGTAATCACCCCCAGAGTTTAAATCAGATTTGTTATTAACAAATCATGTTTGCCATCCTCTAAACATCTGGTTTCACTAACTGCCATTTAAAAGCAAAATACGCCTACAATCAGATTATCTGCTAGTAACAGCAACAAACTCCTCTATCATTGTTATTTTCATCTTTTACTATTGCTGCCTCCCACCCAACACTGTAGCTGTGAAACTGTAGAGGAATCCCCAGTGCTGGCCACAGGTACAGAGCTGCCAGAAGTACACTGTCAGGTGGGGCTGAGCACGAGCTCCAAAGGTTAGCCAGGAGTCAATTCCCATCATCGCCACATTGATTTGATTTAAAGTGTCATCATTTTTAGTTCCCATGTTACATGTTGTAGCCAAAGAAACTCAAAAACCCAAGGGTGCTACTTGCAAGAAAGGCTGGCCCTTCTCACTGAGCCTGGTGATTTCACCAAAGCACCTTCAACACCATCATCACAACACCAAACACAACAAAAACGGCTTCTTACATTCTCTACATTATTACTGATAACACAGTGTAAATTAGTCTCAAAGTCTTTTTTACTCAAGTGCAGACACAGCATACACATTTCTTGACCTCCCTAAAGATTATCTGCCCATGACTAGTAAGGGGCAGCTACTTAGAAGGGAAAGAAAGAAAAAAAGAAGGGAAATGGATGAGTAAGTAACAGTGACTAAGCTTAATCAACCATGTTTACTTTACACTTTTGAGACAGCCAACAGCTAACTCTTGGGAATTATCCCTTACGACACTGGGGATCTCTCAATACTTCAGAAACAACATCTTTGAGAATGTTCATATCTTGTGTTACTGTAGAACTATTTAGATTGATGAACACCCATTATCATGCAACTTCATACACCAATGACAGTAATCATGCAATGTTTAACATGTTTTAACCTGTCGACACTGACCCCACACCTAGAATTGACTTATCCTCTCTTGACGCATTCACTAGAGATATTTCTTAACTCCCTACCTCAAAGGCAGATTATTGATTGAAAGGAAAACTAAACCACAGAAGTGAAGATACCTGAGCTGATTTAATATAGATTGAGGATGGTATGGTAGCTTCATTTTGCTCAGATGAGGTGGTGTCTAAATATAGCTCTGCTGCTTGCAAGCTAAGTTTGTATTCAGAGGCATCCTGAGGATGCTTTTGCAGCCAGCTCCAAACTGACTGTGTACTAAGGCATCTGGTGCTTCTTCACAGCCCAGTGCTCCCAACAACTGGAGGACCTGGCTCAAGTGTAGCAGTGGGTAAATGTAAACATATTACTTCCAGGTCAAAATAGATTCTGAGGATACTCCATGGACTGAGCTAATGGACAAGCTAAGGAGTCCTCTTGAATCCTCGATAGTGGGGAGAGTAAAGCAGAGTAACGGTAAGCAGATTTAGATCAGGTACAGGGAGGTTTGGAAAGATTCCTCTTCCATCTTCTTTCTTGCAACAAAAATACCAAGATCTTGACAATACACATGGACATCTTACATGGATTATTTTTTTTATCCAGGCCTCTCCAGAGTGCTTACTGGAGATCTGCAAAGTATTAAACAGAGTTACCAGTATCAACACTCCACCCCAAGGAGATGAGCTAGGGAAATGTTTCTTGCCATGTTTATACAGGAGTAGAAAATCAAACGTGTAAAAGCTCAAAGGACTTGAAGTGTTAACTATGCATTTCCACATATCAGTACTATCCTTTGTTCTTATCCTCAAATTCTTTCTGCCTGCACTTCAACAGTATTTTCTTAATGATCACCAACATTGCTTCATTGCAACAAGTACTACATATACATTATCTTATTTCCTTGAGGAAGCAAGTTACATGGAAATGAAAAGGTATGAGGTTTTACTTATTTTTGTATAGACTTCAGAAGTGAAATGTTACCTATCAGAGCCATTGACTAAATGGAAAAACTGTCCCAGCTGAAGTCACAGCTTCAGGGATCTGCCTTCTCTCACTGTAAATCCACTCTTTGCTATTAGATTTGTACTCTTGCATTTCTACTATTATTGTAGCAGCTGCATACAATAAGTTAAGGCCATAAGATAACTTCTTTTATCATTTCTTATTCCAGAAAGAATCACAGAATGGTTTGGGCTGGGAAACACCTTAAGATCACCTAGTTCCAACATGCCTGCAATGGGCAGGACACCTTCCACTGGACCAGGTTGCTCAAGGCCCCCTACAGCCTGTCCTCGAATGCTGCCAGGGATGGGGCATCCACAAATTCTCTGGGCAACCTGTGCCAGTGTCTCACGACCCTCACAGTAAGGAACTTCTTCCTTATGTAAAAAGTTAGCTAGAAGGGAACATTTGTGAATTAAATGCAGCAGTGCCAGTCTTAAGACTTTCACTGTGTGGGTCGGAAGTTATATTTAAGTACTGAAAATGCAAAATGTGAGCAGGATCCCTGGGTGGTGATGGCAGCAATGGTGATGGGATGTTATGAAAATGAAAGCACAAGCTTGACTGATCCTTTCCACAGATAGGAAATAACTTAGTGCAGGACTGAAAATGGCTTTGTAAGACTGAAACTGACAGTTTAAAAGATACCAATATTTTAGCTCTCACCACTGACCTATGCAGATGTCTGCACAGCGTCACTGACCTAAGTCTGATGTTAAGTGTTTTCCCACCTCTCCAACCTGTGGTTGAAAAAGCCCCAAGTGGTACTTTTATTATTTGAGAAAGGTGCTGCAGCAGCTGGGGAGATCACTGTTACAGAAGGCACAGGCATGGTGCTGTTCAAGGCACATTAAACCCATGCTTCTGCAGTGACATCGTGTTTTAATAAAATCTTGTCAGCTCCACAAAAACTTTAAAATAAAGACTATTTCTATGCTCACAGGTCAACAGACATATCATCCAGGTAGAATGACATGATAACCAAGGAAACCCATCAGTAAATCTTTTGCTTGCAGTTGAAAAAAATACCACATTAGACTACAACCTGCAGCAAACATTTATAACACAGTTTTCACACTGCTTTTCTTCTGTTTCTCATTAGTACTATTTTTCAGGTGCCTGCTATGGATTATTGTTCAGAGATAAAGAAGCTACCTTCAAAAACAACTGTTCCAGTAAGAACAATTTTGTATTTCTTAACACAAATTAATGCATTAATAAACACTACTTGAGTAGTGATTGCTCTTTGAAGGTCAGAAAGATGAAAAAAATGCTTAATATGAAAGAGAACACATAAAATGTTCTTCTTCAACAGGACAAAAGTCTGAAAGAAGCAAACTAAAGCACAAGGGTCTGAAGTGGAAAAGAAGCTGTGTGGTCAGTCAGGCCCACCTACCCCAGGTAGACCATGCACCAAGGCCTTCAGCAAGGAGGGACCAAGGAAGGTTAATACTGGTAAGAGCATAACTGGTATTCATCAGGCTAGAGAAAACTTAGGGGACTCTCACATACAGCAGTACACCTTCCCTGCCAGTCCCATGAGGCAGAGGTTCAACTGTCTTATTTGGATCAAGGCTTTATGCCCTGGTAAGCAACAATACTGTTCCTGCAAAACCAGCAAAAATCTGATGCAGACTGTACCTGTGATGTGTCACAACCGAATGCAAACTATGGGTCAGCATTATTTTTCTTAACACAATCATGATTGTACGTCACTGCAGACTCATGGCATTTTACTACTACCACTGCAGGCAGTATCTCAGCCTGGAGATCCTGGGCAGTGAATGTCTGAAAGCCCCCCACAATAGCTACAACCCACAAGACCTAATTTACTTTGATGCTTTTAATATAAGTTTATTGATAATGTCCCACAATACTCAATAGCTGGACACTGGGCAAAACACTCTTGTATTCGAAGTACTCTTCTTTCACTCAGAAGATACATCAATTTGACAAACAGATAATATCGTCAGCTCCTACAAATTAATTATGGATGATATCTGGCATTTAGCTAAAAGGTCCACCTCCTGGGAACAAGCATTTATATGAAAATCTTTGTCTACTTAGTCATTTTTTGACCCTGCAGTGAAGATAAATAAGCTTGAGAATATGAAAATATGAACACCAAAATGGCTTAGACAGCCAAAGCCAAATAAGAACCAACCATCCCCTATTTCATAAAAGGATCTATCTTTTTAAAGCAAATTCTGGGTTGGTGACTCAGCATTGCAGTTTCCAGATATCTGTGTATGACTATACTGACCAACATCTTGGAGGAATCCTTTTGTGTCTTTCCCTCCTTTTCCATTTCCATGAAAAGGATGCAGATACCCCCCTAACAACTCTTGGGGCACCCCCGACCAAACAGCAGTGCTTAAGTGCAAGAGAGAGCTATAGTTTCAGGAGTATTTTGTTTAAGGAATTTATCAGATAGCTAAGGGTTAAACCACTGTGTTGTGTTACTGGCTGTGTTAGCTAGGCTGCCAGAGTGAAAGAGCTTGTGGAAATGAGAGTGCGTGTGATGAGAACAAAGAAATCCCTAACCTCTAGCATTATTATTTCTGAAAGCCTGTCTGGGGACATCTGTTCAAAGGAAAGTCAGAGCTTTGCACTCTGCAAGGCATGAAATATGAAGATACATACAAATCAATGAGAACTGAAAAAGTCAAAAGCCTCCAATTCTTGTTTTTAAGCCACTTCATGTAACCATTGAGGCTTAGGGCCATCACACATAAATGGACTTAAACAGTACAGTGCAATGTTGTACAGGTATCAGGTAAATTACCTCAGATGCTGAGAGCAGCATAGTGACATTAACACTAGACAAGCCCAGGATAACTACTCCTAATAAGGAGCATGGTAAATCAACAGCATTAAGACTTGTTCAGCTCTATAATTACCTCTTGCAACCCCCTTACTACTCCTTCATTTTGTTTATTCAAATGTGTGGCAACTTAGGGCTGTGGTGGAATTCCAATCAATCAATCAGGTAGTAGTGTAGGTAGTATTCAAGGAATACCTATCTTTCACTGTGCTCTCCTCAAACTTGCACTGAATGTGGAAGTTCAGATTCCAGTGAAACACAGCTCTAACAAACACCTGCATTGTATTTCTACTACTTTCTTTTTTTCAGCATATAGTGTAAGCACTACCTCATTTACGCAAACATCACACAATCAGGAAATAAACAAGGAGAGAAGGCACCAGCAAGGTCCATCTTCCCACACTGGTGTATCACGTAAGTCAAGAACAACTCCACAGAACCAGTGGAGCTGAACAGGCTTTTAACTTCTGTTAGAGAGCTTATGGCACACCATGTACACAGCTTGCTCACGGAGCCATGTCAACACAACTCCTTAAAAGCTCAAGACTCAAAATATTAGAGGCAGAAGAAGTACTACTGCCAACTCACTGTTTCCTTTTTGGCAGTCACAGAAGCGAGTGGGTAAATGAATGAATGCTGGATAATGATGAGGACAGGCATAAGCATCACTAATATTTTCTGATTATGTAAAAGGTAAATTGTCATCATTAGTGTGACAGAAACACAGGTCCAGTTTTAACAGTCATTACAGGAAACACTGTGCAAGCATATGACAATGCAGCAGCTGGAAACGGTAGAAATTATTCGGAAATATTCAGAAGTATCAGTTAATACTTCACAAAATTGGTTGGAAAATAGAGTATATTATGTTTATATAATTTTGACAACCTCTTCAGCTTTTGACTCACCTGACTCATTATAACTTCAACACACTTCCAGCTAGAACTGTGAAATGAACTATTTGGATCATAATAGGACTGGTGAATAACAAATCAGTAAGAAACAGCACCACAAGCTAGTATCTCTGTGTGTAAAGGAAAAACCAGCAGACAGTTGTAAAGATTAGTATGAAATATGTAAATGATTTGAAGTAGAGAATTTCTCAGGAAGAAGGTTCCCTAACAATAAGGCACTAAGCACAATGCCGGAGATTAACATTCAAACTTACTTTATATCTATTTTGGGGACCATATTTAGAAAATAATTCTTATAGAGAATATAAAAGTTTATTTGATAAATGCATATAAAAAGGAGAACATAAATGATGCTTTTTCAATGACTAATTTTTAAGATCTTGAGGTAGGCATATTTCATGGAGGATGGGGAGTGGAAATGTCTACTTTATTACAGTTAGGACCATGGGTACTAAGAAGTAAATACATACAGTTTTAAATTTTTAGTTCATTATCATTTAGAAAATAGAAGCCAGATCTAAAAAGCTGTAAAATCATGTAAGCAACAGGGAAGATCAAATGGGAAAGCAAATAAGGAAGTGTTTAGAGATTTTCCGCGACTAAAAAGGAAATTACCTTGCTTTACAAATGAAGATAAGGATGACCTTACACACAAGATCAACCTCTGTAGCCACTGACCTGCTACATTAGCATGACATGCATATGAGATGACCCAGCAGATACGAGGCCCATTTTCAGGGAATCCTGCAACTCAGGACTTCCTCTGCAGTTTGTTTCAGCTTGGGTCATGTTATTATGACATTACTCCTAGAAGCATCCCCCAGATCCCCGTATTTCCCAGAGTTCATTCTATATGACAGAGGAAGAACCCATGTAGATTAGCACTGCCTGTGCCAGAAATCAGCCTATGGGTTGTACTTTTTTTTTTTCTTCTGAAAATTGGAAGGACAGCAGCAGCAAAGGTAGCCATAGCTTGTTTAGTATGTTCTTGGTGCTTACATTCTTACTGCATCGCTCCTGTTCCTCATATGGCAACAAGCAACACAATCATTTACAAGTCCCAGCATATATGATAATAGCTTAATTACATTTTGCATGGATAGATCAGGTCTGATTGTAACCATTAACAGACATGCTTGCAAAGCTTCTAGGCATTTCACATCTTGTACTACGCCAGATCACATTTCAATTGCATTGGTGGTGGGGAGTTAAGATAGATGATGCCAAATCACTGTTCCCTCATCCTGCTCTCTCTGTTGCTATGTTGTAATTTAACCACAGCAGAGGCCCACCACACAACATCCATGTAAGACTGCAATGGATTACTGCAGTGGCACACACAGCCTTTATGAGGTGCAGTTAATTTTTTATTTTATTTAAAATCTATTTTATATTTAAAGTCTATTTATCATTCCATCTCTACACTTAAATAAGGAAAAATAGTAAATTTATTAGGAATTTTCATTCTGTGACAAATAAGTGAAAAATTCTCATGAAACTTTGGCTTGTTATATTAAATACAGGTAACCTGCAAGACAAAGATACTTCAAACTGAGTTGCTCACAGTCAAACAGAAGATCAAGCATGGAATTTTAATTCTGGTGAAACCAGTCTCCTAGATTCAAATAGGAGTTCCTATTTCCATGTTCCAGACAACACAAAACAATCAGTTTATGAGGAAATTTAGATTAAAAGCTGTGGATAATTGTACTTGACCTTCAGTAAGTGTAAGATTACAAAAAATAAAATTACTTTAACTTTGTTTTTAAACTTCACTGCAGGTTACAGTAATTTTATAACCTCAATTTAAATGTTTAATTACCTATATATAAATGTCTTTTTCACTCTCGCTCTATAAAGCAGAATGCAACGAGAGGAAAAAAGCAACAAATGCAGACTAATAGACTGCCGAATCATTAATCAGCATGTCAATATACTGAAATCCCTGGGAATAACCTAATGGTCAAAAAATCTAGGCTTTCATAACTTCATAAATAAATCCAAATGCAGTTTAGGCTCCTTCAGACAACACAGCTTCCAAATATGTTTTCTTTCCTACTTTTACTGAAAACCAGCTTATCAGATGTAAAAGCAATGTGTGAACCAAAAATTTATTGCTTTTCAAAATACAGAAATAAATTCGGAAGTACATGAATGAATGCAGACATTGTTCTGAGGATCTTATCTATATTACCTTTAAGACAGCACTAAACCCCAGCATTTCTCAGGCTCAAATAAAATACTTATTCTTACATAAAATTGGCCTTCACATTTTTTAGTCTGCTTCCCGCATCTTGATAGCACTATAGTCTCTCACAGTTATGGAGACCTTTCCTAAGAGAATCACTTCTAAAGAAGCAGTTCAGTTCCCTAAGATCAGGTTTCCATTTTGGAGGCCCTGTACACCTCTTACTGCCACACTGATAACAGTTCCACGATTAGGTGAAATCAGTTGGGCTGCCCAAAGAAAACTCATCTTGTGGTTTTGAAGGGAGAAGTGAAAGACCAAGACTGAAACTCATCCAGTTCAGAAGATACCTTAATGTCATGTTATCATCCTGATTTTAGGAGGTCTTCTGTACAACACAAAACAAACAACCTGTTGCTACAGTTACCAAGTTCACTGGGACATGAATCATCAAGGCATGTTGAAACATGGAAAGTTCAGGTTAGATACAAGGAGGAAGTTCTTTACTGTGGGGGTGGTGAGGCACTGGAATGCGTTGGCCCAAAGTGGTAAATGATCCACCCCTGGCAGTGTTCAAGGCTAGGTGGAACAGAGCCTTGGGCGACACGGTCTAGGTTGAGGTGCCCCTGCCCATGGCAGGGGGGTTACAACTAGATGATCTTAAGGTCCTTTCCAACCCAAACCATTCTGTGATTCTATGATTCTGCTCTGCTGAATTTCAAGTTTATATTCCTAGAGATTAGAAGAGTTCTTGCTATGAAAGATACGATGCAATTCCCCTCATAAAAAAAGGAGCACTTCGGTGCTCCTGTCCTTACCTTTTGATTTACTGTTATTGCCAAATACAAAGGTAGAAATTAAAAATACCAGACAGAAACCAACAGAGATAGTCAACTGAATCACGCTGTGTTTATTCAGTTTTATAGCCCAAACCAGAGGTTACAAATAGTAATTAAGGGGAGGCAACCCCAGGAAGTGTCTAACTTCAGGAGAAAACAACAGGGAGTTGTCAAAATGCCTGACAGTCAGATTTTTTTAACCTGCTTAGTTACTGCAGCTCTATTCTCCTTACCAGGAAATGCAAAACCAGACTGGAAACCTCTGAAATGAAAAGTAGTAGCTTAGAGTCAACCATTGAAGCATTTAGTCAGGGAATCCTGCCAGCTTCCCCATTCCCCTATTTCAGAATGTTGGAGGTTAAAAGTTTTGATAAAGTTTCCCTGCTGTATTCACAGGTAGCCAGTCTGACTTTGTATTTCCTTTCTTAAGAAGTCCTATCTACCTTCGACTCTCTCCTCCCAGTGCTGCAGAAGCAGCAAAGGATGCTGGAGCATACCCTATGGGAAGAGCCAAACTTGGTGCTCAAGTTATGTAGTCAACATGTGTGTTTCTTTGATTGAAGCATACATGCCAACCACTTGCAGGAGTACCTCTAGAACACACCATTTGTATTGGTATACAAATCTGAATGTATTAGACGAGCTTTTATTTTTCTTTTAGCCACAAATGGAAGCTGGCAAGTTTCAGAAGAGAGCAGGCCAGGCATTTTCCCTAGGTTTCACAGGCAAGTGAGTCTAGTCTCCACCTCCCCTGAGAAGCTTAACACCCTTGCTTTTCTGGATCTAGTCACCGAAGTTTTTGAGCTTTATCTATTCTATTTTAGGATGCCCCAATATAGGAAAGGAGGGGGAAGATTTCAGCCTATCAGTATCAGTCTCTTAGATGTGGCTTCGCAGAACGTGCTTCACTCCACCTGCTGAAATATTCAAGGACCCTCAGAAATTAACTGATAAGAGATGAATACAATGCTGAATGTTCCAGTAACACATCTCTAAACCACTAAAAAATAGGTGAAGTTTCAAGGGTACCCCTTAGTGCTTGAGCATCTTTTTCTCCTAAAATATTACACAGAGGGTGAAGGTGATATTCAGTGAAAACACTAAAAATCTTCGTATTTATGATTTGTGCAATACTTAAAGGAAATGAAAGTACAGATCTGAAGAATGAAACACACATTGCAAAGATAGAAACCTCTCCAATCTTGGGCAAATGCTTCATTACTGTGGAAATGCAAACTTGGACTACCGTTAGAAAACAGAATAATAAAAAAACCAGAGATGAAAAGGCTAGGAGCAAATGAGCAAACATGCCTGACTGCTTTGTTGAGTGGAAAGACAAGAATTGGTGGGAGGAAGAATTGATGAATTGTCACAGTATGACAAATAAGACCTTTGGTGGATGTATTGATTCTGAACAGAGAATGACTCATGGATCTACTTAATTCTTGCTTCATTTACAGACAGTAAAGTACTTGAACAAATCACAGATGCTGCCAAATGAGCCAAAGAAGAAAAAAATTCTTTTCCAAGAATGACTTTTTTGGGTTCAAATTTATTGATACCTGCTTGTTTTTGCAGGACAGCTCATACAGCAGAGCTCATATTTTGTATCGCTGATTGTGCAGTTGATCTCTCATAGGCATGGGCACGTTGCACAGTTAAGACAGACTTGAAGACTGGAAAAAATTACCACATGAAAACCTGAGCATGTTACTACATGTATTTGTCAACTACATACATATGAACAGGAGTTGATTTCTTTGTTTCATCACCTCAAAATAATTTTCAATAAGCAGGAAAGTTTTATTTTTACTCTAATACTTTTTTCCCCCTTTTTCATCACAGAAGATTTATAGGCACAGAAAAAAAATTTCGAAGAAACAAAATTATGCTTCAAAATTGATTTGGGTTACTAACCCAAGAGAACGATGGGTCATAGGTACCTTCTTTGCTTGGAGTCTTTTGTTTGTTTCTCCTCTTTTTTAACTTTAACCTTATTTGAAGAATTATTTCTGTCCTGATATTTGGAAAATGAGCCTTGAAAATGTGAATAAAGTACATACCAAAGCAACAGTTCTGAACTGAACTTTCATGGCAGCAACCTCTCTCTACCCACTCTTTTCCATACTGCTAAAGTAGGCATGGAGTCCAAGAATAATTATTACAGAACCACTAGAATAACTAAAACTGCAATATTAGTTTGAAACTTTAAATCACCTTGACAAATATTATTTTTAAAATAATTAATATTTGGAAAACCAAAAGGCAATAATGTGTTCACGTGATTACTATGCTAGTTGGGACCACGTAATTTCTTTAGTCAGCTCTTCCCCAATTCAGAGCAGCCTTCACTCAACAGGTCTGCTGCTGTTTCCCTGGAAGAGAAAAGGAACAGTTGCAAGGCAAGTCCTGTCCCCTCTGCCTGTCACAAAGCATCCCAAGTACAACAGGCACAGCCCGTTTTTTTGTGGCAGCCTGTGAGAGGTGTGGGAAGGCAAGTCTGGTGGCTTTGCTGGCAGGGCTGGCTGCTGCTGCATGCAGGAAGTGCAGTAGGGGTGGCATGCCTGATGCTGTCACCAGACTGGGATGGGATGGGAGCGGAACAACAAGGATCTGGCTCTGTCAGCTGTTGTACAGGCATACTGCAACTTACAGGGGAATTATATGAACTTATGTAGTCCATTTATAGAGATGCTGATTAAGTTTGGGAAGCAACCACTTTGAACAATCTGCCAAGAGCAAAAACTACTCCTTTTGTCAGCCTTATGAAACTCAATCTGGAACTATTTCACCAGTCTTTCAGATGTCTGAGTTTAATATAGAGATCAGAGAGGGTAAAGTTAGGGCAAAGCTGACCCCAACTGCCAAACTATTTGAAGAAGGGAATTGTGAGTTAGCTTTGATCCAACACACATTTGAAATGCATATTCAGTTACGTCTAGCACCAGATGGGTACCAGCTAAAAAAGGAGCTGACTGATACCTCATTTGCAATGAACTAACCTCAGTGTAAATTAAAAACAGCTAAGTATTTTCTAAATGGCACTTGCTGATTGTGCTCTCTTACCCTTCCCTCATCCCCTACCTAGGCCCTTCAAATTCTAGGGGTAGCTGGAGCACAGCTCCTCGTAGTCCCTTCACTCCTCACCCACAAGCAAAGTGAACTGCTCCAGAGCCTAGATATCCTGCTTGCATCTGGATTCCCCCTCACTTCCAAGGAATACTTCTACAGAAAATTGTGATATCCAGGAAAAAAAACCGCACTTAATAATTATGTAACAGTTTGTGTATAGTAAGAGAACTGAACAATTTGTGTATGGAAATTCCCACTCTTGACCTTTGCAAGGTGAAAGGTGGGGGCACTACAGGGAGTTACGGCAGCAGAGGACAGGGAGTTCCAAATGCCATTGTGCTGGCTAGGGATTTACGTAACTAGGTACTTCTGGAAGAAAGGATTAACTCAGAGTCATGATACAGCCTGAATCAACTCTGCTTAGTTAAACTTCAAGAATTCCTCAGTTTATAAACTACCATTTCTGCAGTACAGTGACTAACTCATCAAGGCAAACACACATCAGGTACAGTTTTGGACAGCATCAGAATGCAAAATACCCCAAAACTGAAGAAAAACAATATTTAATGATTTTAGACTTTATGGGAGTTTGTTTCTATTGTCTGGATTATATAGCAAAACCAATTCCCAGTCTATAATACTTTTAATTGGTAGTTAACTTTCATGTCTAATTTAAAATGCTGCAGTAAGGAGGCAAATTGCTGACACAAGGTGCTGGCTAATACCCAGTGTTACAGTTTTACAGTGCCTTCAAATCAGATGCTCTCACCATTCCCTAGCCCTCAAAAATCTTTGTTCCCACCCTCATGCTACCTCCTCTTTTTGTCAGTAATTGATGCTGTCACATGGTGATTTGTACCAGGAAGCAGACCTAGTATAAAACCAACCTGGAAAAAAAGGGACTGTAATTACAAACTGACAGTCTCATGTACCAGAGAAACTACCACAGGATGTTCCTGTAAATCTGCCAAGTCAATAATATTCATGATGATCTGCTAAGTGCTGGCTGTGAGGACTGAGGTTGCCTGGGGCTACTGGAAGTCACATATCTAGTTTTCCAGAATGTCAGAATACTCTGGGAATTGAATGAGCAAAAATCATTCCTTCAACTTCTGCTTTTTTAACTTCTCCTCATCCCTCAAGGTACTTGTGCCTTGTCCACACAGCCCAGCCCCTCTCCAAGATGCCTAAGGAATGCCTAAATGGAACTACAAATGTTAGGATGTTTGAGAACAGAAAGGCATATTTTATCAATTTTTTCTTGTTTTAATCATATGACTAAGAGTTAGCTAGAGTTGGTCTTCAGCAAAACAGTTACAGTTCTTAAAGCTAAATCACAAAGTGGAACAGTACTTTCTGTTAAATTGTCACATAATCTTAGGCCTTCTGTGTTTAACAATGCCCTTTATTTTGCTGTTCACTCTAAATCATATAAGGGACACAATCAAAAAAAGCCCTACCAAATTGCAAATAATAATGCTTACAGTGTGTTATAAATGGAGAACAGTCTCATTTTTTTTACTCTTTCAACCATTGCTTCATATTAACTATACACTGGAGCAGAAAAGTATAAAACAATATCCTGACTGGGTCTGACAGCTGCAGTAATGAAGCCTTGGAAAGAGCACAGACTGACTCCCACCTGGAGACTTAATTTAGCTTTTAGCCAAGTAAAACATGGCTTGGGCAGCTTTTAACACAGATCCTTGGAAATCCTGCTCCATTATTATCTCTCAAGTCGAACAGAAGAGGTCACTAAAGAGTCACAGCGTGCCCCTTTCAAAATGGGGCGGTCATGTTATCCTAGCCGGCAAGTTTGACTGCAGCAGCCTTCACTCTTGGCTTTTCCCATCCTTTGTGCTTTGTCGCCAAATTCTATTGCGTTTATTTGCCCTGTCCATCCTCTCAGTTCTGCACTATGTTTCCCTGTGTACATTGAAGAGTTTTATTAAAGGCTGTGAGTGTCCCAGACCTGGCACTCCACATTTTTCATTCAGCTGCCACTGGTGTGAGGACAGCAGCCTCCAAAAGAGGATGTTTTGTGGCAGTCAGCCCCTTAAAGGGCATACGACAGCATTCCGCAAGGTCAACAGTGGCATATAGGAGATTACTTGGCAGCAACACCAGTAACCAGGGAAGGCAACACATGCAAAGATTCCCGTGGCCTTCCCTCCCTCATCTGGAAGAATAGTTTAGAGACAGAAGAAGGGATTGCTCTGCTTTGTTGGTCTAGGGTTTTTTTTTTCCTTTCTGTTTTTAGCAGTCTTGAAAAAAGAGCAAGAAAACACGAATGCATGCTTGTTGTCAAAAGTATCCGAAATAAGAACAAAGACACAGTCCTTTCCTGACATGTTACAACACAGGAGTTCAGCCATGAAGAAAAAAAAACCAACCCAGATTCGCTAGTATCCAGCATGATCTTACGTTTAAACAATGTTTCCAGTTGGAAA